CATATACAGAAAATTGAGTATCATATTTTATATAAAGCAGCCAGACAATGCAGCAACAAAATCACTTTGAGGAAGTTAGTGTGTTTGGGTAAAGGTCTCCCACTTACACCTAAAGGGGTGTACAGCACGTGGCTATACAGCATTTCAGGTAATATATTAGGAAAAATATCTTCTCAGAAAGAGTTGTGAGGCACTGGCACAGGCTGCCCAGGGCACTGGTGGATTCACTGTCACTGGAGGTGTAATGAAATATGGAGAGGTGGCACTGAGGGACATTGTTAGTGGTTATGGTGAGGATAGGTTAATGGTTGGACTAGATGATCTTAGTGGTCTTTTCTAGCCTTAATGACTCTATGATTTTATGCGCTCTCCAGTACCCTGAGGTGATGCATTTATTGAAAGCTAGAGGACAAAGTATTTGGAAAGGCTTTGAGGTGTTCATTCAGCAAGCAACAGCACTCTCTGTAGAGAATAACATCAGGAGATGCCTCTTGTCTCCTTTGTTTTCTCACCTCTCATGCTCCTGCTTATTTTCTCAGCTACAAGATTATAAGAATCTGCCATTAAGTAAAGATTTCCCAAAGCATAAACAGACAAATAAAACAAAAAAATATGACTTCTGTCTCAGGGAAAGCTATCACTTTCATGAATATAACTCAATGTGCATTTATTTCCTCCTCTTAGAAAATTTATAAAGATAAAAGTGTCTCAGATCACACTTCATCTTCCATACCTGTACCAACCCTGCAGCAACTTCTGTGCATGAGTGCAAGAAATACTGTAATGTGCACTGTGATTCCTTTTCCTCATCTCCTTTTATAACTCTATTGTTTGCTTTCTTTGCCTCATACCTTGCTGTTTGCAGATCCCATTTGCACTTGTTTGGGTCCACCATTGCATTTAGTAAGCCAACAATTTTGAAAGCGTCTTTGTTTTTTAATCTGATGGTTTAAGTTAAGCTAACAAAACACCAGATAACAGACCACAGAGACTACTTTCCTCGTGTAGGCCCTTGCTGAGGGGAAAAAAATATACTTATAGCATAGTTTCCAAAACTACAATTCCTATAGTAGAGTATATTGATTCTTTTATTTTAAGCATCAATCCAAGACATTGCACTGACAAAAAAAAAAAAAAATTAGGTTCCTGGCTCTTAATCAGTCCTTCAGATCACAGAAGTCCTTTATATCTACTAAAGATAATAACACATCATTTTATCTGAAGATTCAGAAGTTGAACCATCTCGACAGATACCTATGACTCTTACCTGCCTACAGAAACTGAATCACCCAGCTCAAATGTGGATGTTTATGATCAGACAGCATCCCCAGTGCTAGACGTTCTCATTACTTAGCTGCTACTTCAAAACTGAGGAGCTCTGAGACAGCAGGAATGTTTGCTGCCATCCCAATTCAAGTGGAATTTAGCAGTCTATAAATATTTACAGATTAGAGATGCAGCCACAGAAGCACATTTCTCTAAGAAGCGTAACATACCAAGAATGTGCTTTTATTTGCATGACATGACTATTTTATTATCCTTTACAGTAAATGAGGAGAAGCTGGATTATTGTTGTAGAGTAGGAAGTGCAAGATGCAGTTATAGAGATACATATATATATATATTTAAAAAAAAACAAAAATATCATTTCTCTGATAGCAGCAGAAACCTTTAAACCTCTCCTAGAGCACTTCAGAAAGTTTCTTTTCTTTCTCATGAGCTCATGAGCTTTTTTTTTGTAGATCTTCTCTCTTCCTCTCTCTTAAAAAAAAAAAAAAAAGAAAAAAGAAACATACCTTTTGATGTACTATATCCTAAAAAAACAAATGACAGTAAGACAATTATCAGACATTGCTTAACTATGAAAAAATCAACAAGTATTTTTAACTACTACATTCTGCTCTCAAAAACCCTGGGCAGGACAACTCTGTGGTCACTGTAAGAAATGTCTCCATGGACTACAGTAGTAATTTGCAGTTTCTAATGTAATCAACCCATTCTTTTTGCAGATATAAACACTACGTCACTAATTTATGGCACTGCTTATATGGAGCACTCTTGAGAATAATGCTACACTTACACAGTCTGAGAAATAGAGGAAAATGGATTTTGTTGATCTCCAGGCCACGTTTCAAGATTTCTTTAAAGAGAAGTTTGGGATTTTGAAATACATAGAAGCTGTTTAAGGAGGCCATATGTTGAACATCTGAATGTTCAAACAGATTTTCAGGAACTGCTTAAAGAGCTAAATGCAAACTTGCTGCTTTACCATGAAAGTTGCCAGTACAGATCTATGACCATTCCTGTTGATATTTTACACAGGAATCATAGTGCTCTCAGCTCAGGAAAGCTGAGAAGTTGTGCTAAAAGCATCTCTTCCTATTCCTACAGTTTTTCAACGGAGCAAAGAAAGAGCCACAATAAATAATCAGAGCTCTCAAATACTATATTTTCAGATTTTAGTTGAATTTCAAGACATGAAGCACTGTCAGTGAAATCCTGCAATGTTTTACAGTTTAGTTCAACATAGGTCTATTCTGAATTACAAATTTGTTCACTCTAGTTTTAAAAATTCTTGCATTTGGTAAAATATATATATATACTGACTACAAAAAGTGCCATTTTTAGCTCTAATGTGAAAAAGTCAGCATCAATTTTAATGGTTGAAATAGCCCTGAAAACCAAACCAAACCAATCCAATCATGCTGTGGAAATACCTTAACAAGATCTATCTGTTTCTCCATAGTAGTGATAGCCACAATAAAATGAGAAAACAAAATGAACAGATCAAAAAATCAAAATGAATGATGTTCTAACATCAATAAATTTGATAAGGCATTTGTTAAATGTTCTCACTGAAAGACTTGTAATACCAAGGAGAGCACCACAGTGATGAGAGAACATGACAAAATAGAATGAATAAAGATTGTGGGCAGCAAATATAGAGAAAATTGAAAAAATTTGCCAGTGAAAGCTCAAGGAAACTATATGAAGTTGACATAAGTCAAAACCCTACAAATGTTCTGAAGATTAATAACACAAAAAGTTTTCCTTAAACAACAAGAATTCAGCATTAAAGAGTTGAGTATATTTGGTAACTCACAAGAAGGAAATTAGGAAGGAAAGCATGAACAACATTCAGCTGCTAACATTCAGACAAATAATGCAAGTGATAAACACTTATCTTTCTGGTGAATTTTCAGGTGTTTAGAGTCATACGGACTTGTTAGTGAAGAGCTGTAGCAGTCAAGTCAAGTCACCAGCAGCTGTAAGTTGGCTTTGTAGGAAGCATGTGGTCCTGCTTTCCTTCCAGGAATGCCAGTTCGGTGCCTCCTCATCCTCTGTGGGTCTCAAGCATTGGCAAGGAGGGAGGTCACTGTATGGAAACAAGTCCGGGGAGCACATTTCCTTGGAGTACAGAGGAAAGCCATGAGCGTGGCATGCATTTGGGGAAGTGGAAGTGAAAAAGCAAGGTAGTGGGGAGAAATAGGCATGACAGTTAGCTGACTAAGCATGAAAACATCAGGGGAAAACCAAAACGGCATGGAGATGAATAGTGGAGACTTGGGAATGAACTTCTGCCTCTTGTGAGAAAAGGACCAGGAGAAGGGAGAAATACTGTAGCATTAAAAAAGAAACTCGGTAGCCAGAGAAGCACTTCAAATTAATTACTTGTTTTAATATCACGTCATAACAGTACAGAGCTGTCTTCTGGAGGCAGACTCTGAACATCTGCTCCCCTGACAGGCTTTTCAAAGACACTTTGGTTCTTGCTGCTTACTGGTCAAGCAATTCTACACAATATCAACAGGGTAAGGCATTTCTGTTTGAGAAATGTTCTGATATATAGCAAGTATGATGTGCAGCATACTGTTGAATGTTAGGAACATACAGAGAGGTGCCTATGTGACATCTATTTTGTAAAATGTAAGCTATGGTCAAAGCACAGTAACGAGGAGAGGAGAGGAGAGGAGAGGAGAGGAGAGGAGAGGAGAGGAGAGGAGGAAAAAAAAAGACGACTATAAATGTATTTCTATTTCTAAAAGAAAAAAAAAATACAAAATGTACACACTGCTCTGAATAAAATTTACTTGAAGCCACTTTTTCTATAAACTTGCTCTGCATTTCTGATGTTAGCTTTCAGACCACTGAAATAATTTCAAGAAGTTTCTTTTCTCCCCTCAAAACTGTCCTCTGCAATCTGAGAATATTCCAAAAGTAAAACAACAATAGGAACTATTTCATCCTGATAAGAGTTTCTGAGAAAGATGCCCTTTCACAGAAGCATGCTCTACTCACAGAGCACAAGCAAGCTTGTAACAATTTATGTCTCTGAATCAAAAATACACTGATTCTATTCAAAGCCAGAAGGGCTACTCCTGGGCTAATTTACTTTTTGTAACTCTAAACACCATCTTGTTTTCTGAGACTGCTATTATGCAAATGTATGTGTGTGTATGTGTGTATCTGAGTTAGAAATAGTGTTATCAAGCTAAACATGCTCCTTCACTGAGCCAGCAATTCACACAAACAGCCATGAACAGACAACAATTTATTGGTTTTAACTAATTTGGGCTAGGTTGGAACTTGGTACACACAAGGCAGCCAGCCAGCCCTGCAAGGCCAGCCCCAGGTCTATTTGAAATGTCCTTTCTTCACTTCAACAATGTAATTAAAGTATTAGAAATACAGAATGCCTCATTATTAATTTTTTTTTCCTGGTATTTTCTTCCAAGACCCTTTTGCTTTCTCTGCTGTAGGGTATTTCAGAGGCACCATAATGTGATATAAAGTGTTTAATAGTGCCTTGGTTTCTTTGCTACTGGAAAACGGAAGACGTATTCATTCTAACAGGGCGTAGAGTAACTTAAACCTGAAAAACACAGCGAATGTCTGAAAGAAAGGGTAAAGAACCAGGGAGGACAGGACTTGTCTTCCTCCCGGCGCTCCCGACAGCGATTTGCCCAGCCTGCGTGCAGCCGGTGTTGCACCCCTACAGCAGAACAGACACCTGTAAGAGTCGGGAGACGGGGTGAGACGGGGCTGCGAAGGCCGGGCGATGGGGAGCGGAGCCGAGAGGGAACGGGAGCGGTGGGAGGGCCGCGGCAGGCGGAGCGAAGGAGGGGCCAGGCCGTGCCGGGAGCTGCCGGAGGGATCCTGCGGTGCCCGAGAGCGGAGCGCCGAAGGGGCGAGGAGGCGGCTGCCGGCCGGGGGCAGCGAGGAAGCGGGAGGGGCAAACCAGGGCGCCGCTCAGCGGTACGGGCGGCGGCGGGGCGGGGAGCGGCCGGGGGATGCGCGGCGGGCAGCGGGGGACGAGGCGCCGTCCCCGCCCTCCCTCTCGCTGCCCCTCGGAAGGCGGCAGACGCTCAGCTCGCTCTCCTCTCCGCAGGACCGTCCCGGCGGCGATCGGCGCACGGCCGGGGCTCCTCGGAACGCAGCGCCATGTGAGCGGGAGCTCCGTCCGAGCCGCGACGAGCCGCGCCGGAGGTTTGGCGGCGTCCAGCGCTGCTCCGGGCAGCATGACCGAGGTGAAGGCCAAGGAGACCCGAGCACCTTCGTCTGCCCGAGACGGGGCGGTGCTGCTGCAGGCTCCCCCCAGTCGCGGGGAAACGGAGGGCATCGACGTCGCCCTGGACGGGCTGCTATACCCCAGAAGCAGCGACGAGGAGGAAGAGGACGAGGAGGAGGAGGAAGAGCCGCAGCAGAGGGAGGAGGAGGAGGACCAGCAGGATCGGGACTGCCCCTCGTACCGGGAGGGCAGCGGCGCGCTCCCCAAGGACTGTCTGGACAGCGTCCTGGACACCTTCCTGGCTCCCGCGGCTCATGCCACGCCCTGGTCCCTGTTCGGGCCGGAGGTGCAAGAGGTGCCCGTCGCCACGATGAGCCGCGGTCCCGAGCAGAAGGCTGTGGACGCCGTCCCGGCGGCTCCCGGCCCCTCGCAGCCGCGACCCGGGGCTCCGCTGTGGCCGGGCGCCGACCCCCTGAGCGTCGCCGTGAAAGCGCGTCCGGGAGCCGAGGGTCCCAGCGAGGGCAGAGCCCCCGGACTGCCCGGCGCCGAGGAGCGCGGCTTCCCGGAGCGAGACGCGGGGCCCGGAGAAGGCGGCCTGGCGCCCGCCGCGACCGCTTCCCCGGCGGCCGTGGAGCCGGGCGCGGGGCAGGACTACCTGCACGTGCCCATCCTGCCGCTCAACTCTGCCTTCCTGGCCTCGCGCACGCGGCAGCTGCTGGACGTGGAGGCGGCGTACGAGGGCAGCGTCTTCGGACCGCGCTCCTCGCCCTCCGCCCACGCCGCGGACTTGGCGGAGTACGGCTACCCGCCGCCCGACGGCAAGGAGGGTCCCTTCGCTTACGGCGACTTCCAGAGCGCGCTGAAGATCAAGGAGGAGGGCGTCGGTCTGCCCGCCGCCCCCCCTTCGTTCCTGGGCGCCAAGGTCGCCCCCGCCGACTTCGCGCAGCCTCCGCGTGCCGGCCAGGAGCCCTCGTTGGAGTGCGTCCTCTACAAGGCCGAGCCGCCCCTCCTGCCCGGCGCGTACGGACCGCCGGCGGCCCCCGACAGCCTGCCGTCCACCTCGGCCGCGCCGCCCGGTCTCTACTCGCCGCTCGGGCTCAACGGGCACCACCAAGCGCTGGGTTTCCCCGCGGCCGTGCTGAAGGAGGGCCTGCCCCAGCTGTGCCCGCCCTACCTGGGCTACGTGCGGTAAGGGCTGAGCTCCGCGGTTCTCCTCGGCGAATCTGGGCTATAGCGGAGGTGCTCCCGTGGGGCGCTGGAAGTCAGGCAGGTGCCGAGGGACGTCAAGACGGCGTTTCGCTCCCTCGGTTTTGTGTTTAGACGGTCGCTGGGGCTGCGTTTCCTTCTTCTCCTGTGTTCTGATGCGTGCTGGGGGATGTCAGCGCTGGTAGGAAGCCAGAGGGGGTATTATTTCTTTAATTTGCAGCTGATGCTCTCGTGGGCACAGTTACAATCTGAGAAAAGCAGCACTTCTGTTGTGGTTGCTCATTGCGATATCTTAACAAGTCACTAGCCACAAAGAAGGGGGGAACGGCATCAGTGTTGCTGATGTCTGAAGTGGCAGATGGACAGTGTTGGTAAAAACCCAAATATTCTTTAGATTGGGAGTTCTGATTTGAGAAAAAGTAGTCAATTTCACATAATAAGTGGAACATTTTGTATGTGCATATTGATTTGTTAGAATGAAACGGCTAACTGTATGCCAAGGCATTCTGCATTACCTAGAAATACTTGTAAAAATAACTATATGCAGTGCTACTGTTTCAATGGAGATACCTGGATTTTATCTTAAGGATTAGCTAGATTGTTTTTATTTGTTTGTTTTTCTTGACAAGATACAAAGCAATAGTTTTCATTTTTGGCTTTTCATTTTTGACCTTTCACTTTTGGCTTTTCACTTGCCATAACCCACCCACTGAATTGCCTGCTGATCAAAAGCTGCAGCTGACCAAGAGGTGACATGCTGGTAATTGAGGATTTTTCTAATCGAGATAAAACTTTGTGATTTCCCATGCGAAGAAAGTTTTGAAATCCAGTTCATATCTAATTGGTTCCATCTCCTGCTATGCTGTGTTGAGGAAAAGATATGTCAGTATGACTTTGCTCGGAAGACTTGTTGAGCTGAAGAAGATGGAACATTTTGACAGTTTCCCAAATTGTACCCTTTTATTGAAACCATTTCCAATGACTAGACACTACTACAAATGTGCCTTTTATCCTGGTGTAGAAAAAGTCTTGAGCAGAAAGGCAGTGCTGCTTTTTTTTCCCTTGATCTTCTATAGAGGAAGTTTTTATTGTAGAACTGATTAATTTGGGTAAGTTGCTAACTGTTGCAAATCTGGATGTTTCATTTCTCTTCTTTTTCTTTTCAAGGCCAGATACAGAAACCAGCCAAAGCTCCCAGTACAGCTTTGAATCACTACCCCAGAAGATTTGTCTCATCTGTGGCGATGAGGCTTCTGGTTGCCACTACGGAGTGCTCACCTGTGGAAGCTGTAAAGTCTTCTTTAAAAGGGCAATGGAAGGTACTATATCATACCATTGTTCCTAATTATGTTAAATAGTCCTTTCTAGGTTCTGCGAATAACGTATCCTTTACTTACTGATAATCTTTAAAAACATGATTACTGTCGGTTTTTGGCAACTCTATTTAAGTATTACAGTGAACTAACTAAATTATTTCATCATTGACTTCACTGGTGTTCCTTTTTTACTTTCCTTGTTAGCTGTTTGTTGTTAATATAAGTGTTAGGATGTCATGTAAGTTTCTGGTGGAAATATTTTAAGGTTGTTTTCTTTGAATATTTATGAAAAATCTGTATTTGCAGGATGTTACTGATTGATAACGACATACAGAGAAGGTCAGTACAGTTAGACTAACAAAAAGCTTGGCTTTTAGCTAGCCTCTTCATACCTACCTTTTTTTTTTTTTTTTTTTTGAAGTCTTTTCCAAAGTCTTATCCTATGGTGAAGAAATATGTTGCTTTGTTTTGGTTTTCTTTTTTAGTAAGAATATTAAAAGAATGGACAACAACCTCAGAAAGCTGAACTGTGACAACAGAAACTATAGATGAAGTTTTATAGGAAGAATGACAAGTGAACATGAGCTAGATGAACAAATGGGGTTACCTGGTTAATGCATTAGTTGCAAGTCTGCAGGGAGTTGTTTGTAATGATGGACTCCTTTATTTTCCCTGAAGTGCAGAATATAATTATTAGCACTGAAATAATCTCATTCAGAGATCGATCTCTAATTTCATTTACACTTGAAGCACTTCTTCACTTCTTTCTGGTCAGAAATGAAGGTGACAAATTACTCCTCTTTAAAAAGAATATTTTAATTTTAAATGCAAGTGAAAATAATGCTTACAATTCACAGAGTCAAAGTAATAAATGCAGTTGAGACATTTTTCTTACAGAATATCTCCTTCCCCTTCATTTTTTTTTTGCAGGAATGGTTGATATCCCTTTAAAAAAAAATTAATATTCTTCATGTTTCTTTAAGAATTATTTGTGCAAATAAGGTATTTGATTTTTTGAGTGCAAATTTATCATCTCAGCCCTATTTTTTATATACTTTCCATAAGGTACAGAATGCTATAAGAAATTAAAAAAAAAAAAAAAAAAAAAAAAAAAAAAAAAGGTTCAAAGGATCAAATTAAATTACTTGGGCTGCCTGCTGGATTTTCTGTATTTAGATTTCTCTTTCATATCATTGCACAGTTGTCAAGTGCACACATGACAAGGGACATAATGTAGTAACTATTACAATATGTAACTATTGGGTTAGTCACAAAATGCTTATTTTCTACTTTAATTAATTATGTAATCTCAGATATGTTGGCTATTTCAAATCTCATAGCAAATGTATTTTTTTTTTCCCAACAACACCCACTATTCATACACCATTCATTTTACTTATCTGTGGTGTGTAAGAAGTACAGTATTAATACTTCCTTTGGGATGAAACTGACCATCATGTTATCCAGAAAACTCCATTTTCCATATCTAACCTTTTTGAAATAACTATTTGAAGCTGTGCAGGTGAATCTAGGAAAGTTTCTATGCTGAGCATGATTTAATTGGAGTAGAGCTAACGGATATCTGTATATTGTGACAGTAATCCAGAACTGTATGTGGATAACTAAGATATTATATTTTTTAATTTTTTTAGAATGTTGGCAATAAATTCTTACATACTTTTACAATTTAGCAAAGCTTTTGTTATTTGGTTTCCTGACTTGCTCTATGTTCCTATATGCATAAATAAATTGATGGTCTCAGTATGGTAAGTATATTTTATTCAAAGCAGAATCCCAAGCAGTAAACACAAACTGCAAGGCCTTTAGTGGGGGTGAGGGGGATGCAGAAGGACAGATATGAAAAAAAGGTAGTGCTGGAGGTGGGGAGGAGAAAATGCAGAGGAATAAATATACCAGTATTTTAGGAAGTATTTCTCTGCATTCAGAGGTGGTCGTTTTTGGTTGGTTACCTGCAAGGATTGATTTATGTACCCATTGATTCAATTGTACAAACAAGTTGCAAAGCTTTTTAAAAATACTCGAAGTTCTCACTTGGTTGACGAGAAAATAATAGAAGTTACTTTTATTTATACTTAGAGAAGAAAACTGAAAACACAAACCTGAATTCAGTAAGCTGATGTGGTAGTATCATTCGTTTTTGTGAGCTGAAGGTGACGGGCAGTTTGAAGTTGCCAATCAAAGAATATTCAAAGTTAAGATTTAAAATGCTTTAAAGTATACAGAATTACTGAATTTGCAAAGTAATTTGCTGTTGGTGGTCAGGCATTTTTTAAGTACTACCCGTATATCAAACTTATGGTCACAAAAAAATTGTTATAAAATTGCCAGCGGAACTTACAGGAAAATGAAATTAAGGAAGTGAGCTCTTCCTTATTTTTCTTTAAATTGACAAATGGTGTTTAATATCTTACATAGATATCTTCACATAAAACTGTGTAATGCTGTTAATTTTTGCTTTATATTTGTAAAAGCATTTGCCTTCCTTTGCCCTTTTTCACAGCGACAAGTGGTTGTGTGAACCAGAAGTGTTTGAGGCCAACATGAATACATGGCATTGCAGCAGATGAGTTAGGAATTAACTCTTGGTTTCTTTGAATGTCTGGGACCTTACTATAACTGATTTGTCTGACTTTAATATATGCTTCAAGTTCAGGATAAGAGCACTGTACAAGTAGCAGTATTAGGGACTGTGCTCAAGAGCAGCAGCAGCAGCAGCAGCTAACACTTGACTGGTGAGAAATGGACTTTTCTCTGAGACCTAAATTTGACAAATTCTGCTGAATAAAAAGTAGTTTCCATCAGAGTTTCCATTGTCTCTGCATATGGGTAGAGGAGGATTCTGAGATGAGGATGAGCTGCATCTACGCTGTGAAGACCGACTGTTGTTTTGAGCAGCCTTTCTGATAAGGTTTATCTGACTTGTGCTGTGTACAAGCAGCTTATGATGGAAGTGTGATTCACTGCATACGTACTGAAAGACTGTGCATCAGTATTTTTGTGCTTTTCCATAGCTTAAAAAACAGCACAGCATGCCAACCATTGATTAGAATGACCCGGCCCCAGTTAGAAAACTCTGTTTGTGAACAGTGAAGTGCTGTACGGTACAGACCCTTTCATCTATGAAATTAAGGTATCAACTATGAAAAGTTCCCATTCTCCTAATTCTTCAGCGTTTTCCATTTGTTAATCTCTCTTTCCAGGGTTCTGTGGATTGGGATTTGGTGCAGTGTGTGCTGTATACCTGGCAGCTGTGAACACTGCGTGAAGCAGAGAAGGCATGCATGCTGCATGTTGAGAAATACAGATGTTTTTCGATTAATTTATTTAGTATTGTTAAACACTTTCATTTTGCATGTGACCAAAATATGATAGCGTGCAGTAGATTTATTTTCAAATTCAAATATTTGAAATAATCTCCATGAAGGTTGTAAAAATCAACTGGAAAAATTCACTTGTGAGAGAAAGGAATTTGCCTTATGAAAAGGGAAATAAGATCTGTGCTGATACATAACTGTATCTTCATCGTATACAAACATACATTGCTCAATTGTTTGGCAGACAGTAATTTGCTGATTTGCATGCAGCACAATGATGGTGTGTGCTAGGATTGTGTTTGTTCTGGTGCTAAGTGATGCCGGGCTGCTGGCTGTTCTCATTATGCCTTTGTACTGCTTTCCTGATAGGGACTACTTAGAATGCCATCAGCTACAGAAATGTCAATTAGCCAAATTTTGGGCTTAACTTCACATGATGTGTTCAGAAGCAGTATTGAACATTGCATCTTTTCAGGTGGAATGGAAGCTCTTTCAAATAGTGTAAAACCACTTTCGGTACGGAGCACCAGCACCAGACTGCTCTGTACTACTGAGGTTGCTTTGTTCTAACTTTAGATCTGCACAATAGGAGTAACCTGAGTTACTCATCTGAAGTTCATTTGATAGTGAATGGAGAGAAGTGGGAACTTCTAGGAAGTAATTCACTGACTTATTTCAGATATCTACTGAAGATGAAAATGACAGTACTCTCGCTAACTGCTCTCTGTACTGAGCATAAAGGCAGTGTCAGGTGATGATGTGAGCAGTCTGCTCTTGGTGTTATGAATCTCACCCACGCCACAAAGGTAGCTAATACCTTTTTAGACATAGTAAATGTGACAGTTATTTAAAATAATCATTGGGCAGTGTGATCTCGTGGGTGATCTTGTGCCCAGGGCAGGGAGGTTGGAACTTGATGATCTTTAAGGTCCTTTCCAACCTGAGCCATTCTGTGATTCTAGTCAAACTACTAGTTACTAAACGAGCATTTAAGTTTGACAGTGTCCATCTCCTCATTCTGTATATCTGTTCCACAAAACTGATGATTACTGGTAAGGAGATGTTCTTTAGAGGCTACCAATGGAAAGACTTAACCAAGTATCCTTTGTATGTTAGTCTGCCATTGTGCACAGTGATACATGGTTGCACTTCAGAATTTTCATAACTGGTTGCAACTCTTGTGTTCTGACAAGTGGCTGTTGCTTAATATGCTTAATGTTATTATCCTTAAAATCCTTTAACGTTTGAGTCTGTTTCAGCAACCTGGAATCTGCTGCGGTTAAAATCTAGGAATTACATGCTACACTGAGATGCAGGAGAATATTACCCTATTCTTCTCATATAATTACATAATCTTCCATTGTCTGCAGAGACGGTGTTTTATGTGAGAGTTGCTGCACCAAGCTGAAGGCATTTACAGCATGGACATATGTATGTGAGTTAATCACTGTGGGCATCCTTTGAAGAGACACTATTAAAAAAAACAAATTTAGACACCTACTCAAGGTTAAAATAAATTTTAAAGTATCTGCTTTTCCTCTAATGCCCGAGAATGGAGTGTACGTTACTTATACTGCTGAGTGTCCACACTTGAGAATCTAGTCACTTAAATGAAGCCCTTCTTCAAGATTTTCAAGCAGTTTGTTGTTCTTTGGATATTTTGATCAA